TTTTTTTTTATGACCCGTTTATTCCTGCCTTCCCACACTCTCCCACGTGACTCATATCCGGAGGCATGCTGGAGCGCAGCCCTTGCACAGGCCTGCTGTGAAAATGCACACAAGCCCTCAAGACCGAACCCAGGATAACCCTCTGCTAGTGTTGGAAAAGGACAGCATGGTGGTCAGCATTGCAAAAGCATATTTCAGCGCTGCGGCCCTGGGTTCGATTCCTAGGAATCTAGACGGCAGTGGGATCTGCGTGGAGTTTGCATGTTCTCCCTGGGTTTCCTCCAGGTGCCCCGGTTTCCTCCCACAGTCTGGGGGTGCAACTGGACGACTAGCCTGCTACAGTGAACCCCGTTATTATGGGTTCGAAAGCATGTCGGGAACAGCCATCCTACGCCACTGGAGAATCTGGAGCAGAGCCCATCCTGCTTCATAAAACGCCTGGGTCAGCTCTGCTACAGCTAGATCCTGCCTGCTGTAGTCTTCTACAGCTTTAGGGTTTTGTCCATCACACACAGAAAAAGAGCAAAGAAACACATCGAGACTGCTCAGAAGCACAGCAGAGGAACTGGGGTGGGTTATGGCAGTCGGAGCTGTTGCCTTGAAATTCCTGGGTGCTAAACGTGCTTATGCACTTGAAAACCTTCTGTGCCGAGTTTGCATTCACCTGGGCTTCCTTTGAACACTCTGGTTTCCTCCGACGAGCTGGAGGATTGAGGAGCTGCACTGGGTACCCCAATCTAAGGCAGATCTCCTGCCAACCTTGGTAAGGCCCAGGGGAGGCAGAAGGACTCGCTTGGGACACGGCGAGGGGACTGGAAACTGTCAATCCCAGGAAAAACAAAGGAGCAGAGCAAACGCAGAAGTGGGAAACGCTCCTGAGCGCAGGCCAGCGCGTGCCTACTGGCACAAGGACTGCAAGCGACAGAGACTACAGGCTTGGGCCACCCCTGGGGTGCAGCTCCCCCTCCCCCTACGGCCCAGGCTCGGCACCCAGCACCACCGCACAGACAGAGCAGACTTCCACCCCAGCCAGGTCTGGAGGGAGTGAAGCAGCACTAACGGGCTCCGGGCTGGAACGAGAGCCAAGCGGCGGAGCTTTCCTGCTTTCATAATGTCTGCTATTAATGCGTGTAATTACCCCGAGCAGAGGAAGAATGGAGAGAGAGAAGACAGTGCATTAACACTCCCAGCCAGAAAAAGCACAGTGGGGCCATTGTTCTGCGCAGGAGAGACAGGTCTGTACAGGGACCGGGGAGGAGGGAGAGGCTCCCAGCACACGCCTGCGCCCAGGCCAGCGCCCTCTTCGCTTCACGGCATCCGACCACCCAGACGGGACTCCTGGAACACCTGGAGCGGACCAGACTGCTCTGCAATGGGAGACCTCAGGTTTCTGCTCCCCCCCCAGCCCCCACCCAGAATCCTCAACCATCTGACAAATGCAGATCTGAGGAAGGAGAGGGTTACATTTTTCCACACAGCACTGCGCCTGCAGCGTGCCGTGGCAGGGAAAATACCTTTCAAATTAGAAAGGAAATCGAGAAGACTCGGGCCTGGAATGCACCCTGTCTTAAACCA